AGAGCTGGGTAGAGTCCTCTCTCTCCCCGCCATAGTCCCAGGGCACCCTGCACCCAAAACCCCTCACCCCAGCCCACACCTTCAGCTGGCATCCTCACCCCTCCTGCACCCTCAGCAGAGTCATCACCCCCTGCACTCCAACCCTCTGCCCCAGCCCTGAGCCCCCTTCCACACTCCAAACCCGTCAGTCCCATCCCTGCCGCATGAATTTTGTTATGTGCACCAATATGGAGGTTGCGTCACACATCACCTCCATATCGGTGCACATAACTAAATTCTTTCCGCACATGTGTGGGAAAAAATTAAAGGGAACACTGCTCCAAAGGTGATCCTTGCAATTACCTGTGAGTAAGCATAACTTCGGTACCAGGCAAATCGGCCCTAGATGTTCGAAGAGCTCTCGTGTTCTAGACAGGACTAAACAGTTCCGTTAGTCAACCCAACTATTCATGGCTATTGCAGTCAGGATGAAAGATCTCCCAGTCTCGTCACAAATAATTTTATCGTGGATAGCTTCCAGTATTCATGTATGTTCTGATCTGGCTGGCATTTCTCCACTGAGCAAAATAATGGCATATTCTACAAGTTTGCAAGAGGCCTCAGTGTCATTTTTCGTACAAGTCCTTATCCAGGACCGTGGTAGAGCAGCAGTCTGGTCTTCGATGCACACCTTCACATCCAATTATGCCATCACTCGGGACTCTTAGAGACTATGCTAAATTTGGACAAATTGTATTCCAGTCTGTGTATGCATAGGCTCCAATCCCCCCTCCTACTTTACAGCTTGAGTCAGAGTGGAATGCCCATGTGCAATTACTCAAAAAATGCTTAATAACCTTTTGTAACTGTTCTTCAAGATATGCTGCACATGTCCATTCCACAACCTGCCCTCCTATCCCTCTGCATTGTAGTTGTCAGGCAAAAAGGAACAGAGGGGGCTCTGGAGCAGCTGGGTAACAGTGGTGTGCAACAGCACAGGGCTTTTGACCTGCCCCAACAGATGCCACTGAAGGGAAAATTTCCTATGACAGTGTGCAGGGTGTGCACACGCTAAGCGTGGAATAAGAACAGTTACAGAAGGATAATAACCTTTTTTCCCCCCCCCCCCAATCCCTTGTGTTAGATACAGAAGAGTGAAATGCTTTTTGGTAAAATAAATTTCACCATTTCTAGTCTGTGACTTAGGTTAATGCTTGAAATTTAGAATGGACTTAGTCTGCCCTGATTGATGCCTTTATTTAGAGTTATGATCAATTAAAAAAAAAAACCTGAACGTGTTCATTTGTTATGTTTTAAGCAAAAATTAATCCCAGTGCCTGTTGTGAGATTACTATGGAGTCCCTCTAAATTCCTGCTCAAACAAGATATGATTTACTACTCGGGTTGCTCTAAAACAAGGGGCATAGGACAACTTGTTAAATTTACCTTAATGAAATACAAAGATTATCTGGTAAAATTTGTTTTAGTGCTGCAGAGTTTGTTTTTGCCACATTCTAAAAGATTGTAAATTCTAGATTTTTTTTTTAACTTTACAAATAACTTTTTCTGTTGTAAAGGTATAATTATTACAGATAAGTGCTGCCCTGTTACAAGCTTTGCAGAAAATTTTTGTGGCAAATAGCAGTAAGGTGGGAAAGTTCAGTTGAAAACCTTTTCAATATTAAAGCTAAAAACAGGCAATTAGATACTCTTGAAGAGAGAAAATATAAAAGCTAAAGTTGTTCAAAAGCAAAGTAAGTTGCCTGTACTGAATGTATTCAGTATTTTCTATCCCTGCCTTTCTGATTTAAGGGACTGATCTGGCTCTCATTGAAGTGAATGACAGATCTTTTGACTTCAATGAGAACAGGTTCAGATCCTGTGTGTGAAGATGAATATAACTACTGTATGTATAACATATTGTGAAATATGCAGTTGTGCAAGATAGCCAAGTAAATATTGCTGTGTATGTAACTTCTGCATTTCCTGATTTTTAAATGTGCATCCTTAAACTTGTAATAGCTTGGGTCTTTTTGTTTTTATTAGCTAATCATGTTGGATGCAGCAGATAAGTGACTGAAAACTAACCTACACCTAGAATCTTCCTTTGTATTTCCTTAGTACTTTTCTACACTTCGCTTGTTTTTTTTGTTGTTGTTGTGTTTTTTTTAATCTTGTACTTTGTTTAGCCTTGTTAATTCTTCTATACTATTTTGTTTTTTGGAATTTTTGCCTCTTACCTTTAATCACTATCCATACAATTTTGAAATTCCAGACTGCAAACACTGGGCCTGTTTTAAGGCATTGTCTATTTGCTTGTACTGCTCCACCTCTCCTTTTCCCTCAGGCTTTAAATATTGTGGTGATACAGATTAAATTGAACTCACAGAGAGATAGTTAAGCAAGAAACTAGATGATTCGATACACTTTTCTTCAAAGTTTGTATATCTTCCAGATTACTGTTTGTTTTTTTTTTAATTACTTACTTTTTTTCAATAGGATCCGTGACATCAAATGGTCCCACCACCACATTGGTTGAGAAAAAGGCTTCAGGCACAAAAGCTAATGGTGGCAGTCCACAATCCTCATCCTCTGGTTACACTCAAAATAAAATGTGCAGCTCTAGTGTTTATCACAAACAGTTAGCAGCTCTAAACTGTTCTGTGCGTGACTGGATAGTAAAGCATGTAAACACAAATCCACTCTGTGATCTGACACCCATATTTAGAGACTATGAGAAATATTTAGCAAGCATTGAACAACATCATGGAAGCAGTAGTGATAGTGGCTCTGAAAATGAAAGCAACAAAACAACTGGAACTCAGTCTGTTCCTACGTTTGGGACTTCAAAACTTCAGCAAGGATCAACTTTTTTGTTTAACAGCAACAAAACTGAGGATGAATCAGACAAGAAACCTGAATCAACATCGGAAAAAAACAGAGAATCACCATTAGGAGTTGCATCAAATGTCTCATTTAATTTTGGCAAGAATGTTGATAGTTCTATTTTGGGTTCACTTGGTTCTGGCACACTAACTAGTTTTTCATTCTCCCCTGGGAATTCGGGTGTATTTGGAAAAGATGCAAAGCAGGGAAAGTCTGTCTCCACGCTTTCCACCAGGGTATTGGAAGCTCAGACAGAAAGTGGAAGTAGTGAGGATAAAGGTAAATATTGATTTTTTTGATAATTTGAACTTTTACTAATGATAGGCTTTGAATGTTTGGGCATAACTTAATATTCCAAGGCTGCTTTGTAGTGAGCTATTAAGCTTAACAAGGGGTTGTATAGGGTTATTCACCGTTTTGCTCTTGTATTTTCAATACTGAACGATTGCAGAACTTTGCCTCTAATCTTGAATTTCTCAATCTTGCTGTCATGACAGTAAGAAACTATAAATTTTAGTTGGATTTATACATTTTAATAGCATCTTTTCAGTGTTACATAAGCAATTTGCCTACACAAGTATTGAAATTTTATGATTGAAATCTTAGACTCGTGTTCATCCAAAATTTCAACCAAATTTGTAATCCAGACCCTGTGTTGATTTAGTCATATACTAGTCTGACGTATTAGAATAAAAAGTGCACATTTCTCCCTGCAATGTGATAAGTATAATCACCGGTGACATTTAATTACATTGTAATCTCTAGCTCAAATTAAACCAAATGTAACTTTAACTGTACTGGAACCTGCATATCTAATTAAAGGGGCTGTAAACTACCCCACCCCGTTCTTAAAGTAAGGATCCCTTTTATCTGTTTTAAACACTGCTCCACATAATTATAAGTAATGACTCACAAACCTAGTGTGGCCCATTGTGTCATTTTTATAACAGTGCTGAATTTTAAATAGCACTGTCAAATACTGATTAAATTATTAGGCAAAAGTGTTATTTTATGTGTGAAGTTGGTAATTGGAGTACTCTTGGTTCCCTGTCCCTTACTTATTCTGGAATAAAATGACTAGTGATTAGTACTGTGAAAATATTTATAAATGTTTCCGTTGTAACCCCTGTCCACTGTGGCTGTCTTTTGAAGTTTAATATAGGAGCTGGAACTCTATTTGCTTGTACACACCATTTCAGTCTGTGCTTATATAAAAGTAACAATCTAGGACTTTAGTGAGGGGTTGTTTAAGCGAGAAGTGGGAGGTAGCTTCCCTTGCAAGTGTGGTGGGGAAAGGCCCTAAAACTTGAGTTTCTGTGGAATGTAAACTTTTGAACAAAACTAAGTTTCTGGTCTTTCTGAATGTGAACCAACTGTACAGTGGTACATTAAAGCTTTCAAGTCTTAAGGCAGTTTCAGCCCCGCTGCAGCATTCAGTAGCTTTGTCAAGCAGCTGCAGAATGAAATGAATAAAATTCTGGTCAGTTTCACTGCTGCTGTTCATAAGTATTTAGGGAGCAGTAAAACTACCAAAGATCTTGTCAGTTTCCTTCTGCTACTGCTTAGAAAAGTTGTGAGTAGCAGCAGAGGCAGGCACAGCATCCTGGTAGAATTCCTAGCAAGTGTGGGGGGTGGAAAGAGGCTGAGCTCTTACCCATTTTTAAGCTGTTGTCTCTTGATACCATTGGTATAGCTCTCCTCCTGCCTCCCCCTCCCCCGACCTACCCCTAGAATACTTTTCAAGCCCTCCATATAACCTGGGTGGTGTTTTTTGGGGGGGAGGGAACTACTCCTGAATCTCTTTACTTTATAACTAAATCTCCCAACCAAAAAAGTCCTGGGTTGTTTTTGTTGTTGTTTTTAAAACCAACCTTATAATTAGCTAGCTGCTATTCAAACTTCCAAAAATGTAATTAGGATCATTCTGATCTCCATATTCATTTAGCTGGTGTAGTTATTAAAACACTAGACTTAATGACCACAGAAAGTTTCTTATAGTTGCCTTACCTCCAAGACACAAATCAATTTAAAATACTTTTTGACAATCTCTGGACTGTATATCTGCACTCTCAATATGTATGTTTGTGTATTATCAGTAATACAGTGTGAAGAAACAATAAGTGGTATCTGCGTAACGTTCTGGGTTGTATTAAACCATTCCTTTGTTTAAGGAGGAGATGAAGAGGAGGAGGAGCCACCAAAAACAGTTGTTAACGAGGTAAAAGAAGATGATGCCTTCTACTCAAAGAAGTGAGTGGTCAGTTTTAATGTTTACAAGCCATAGTAAATAAAAATAATGACTTTTTAAAAAAGAAAATAGATATAAATTAATTTTTTTAATTGAAATCGCTGTTTTTATTTACATGTTGCAAGTTCTGTACCTTCTTCCTATTCTAGTCCTAAATTGCTGAAATTGATGTTTTCGTACTTTTTTTAGTTTCGTAATTGTTAAAACTTTAGATTTTACATAGATTTTTTTTTTCTTCTGTGAAGTTTCATCTGAGCTCATCTATGTGGAATGTCTAGGGCCTCATTAACATCCTTACTGTGAGAACAACACATGTTCAAACAAAATTGAGCAAAACTTTGTGCGCTATTCGCAACCAACAACACGTTCTGATATTGCAATTCCACAGCTCAAGAAAGCTGAAACACTTTGACCAGCTGTTCTCCTCCATCAGGTTTTGCAATTCGAAGTTGGAGACTTGTTCTCATAAGTCACTTAGGTGCTTTTGAATATCCCTCCCAGAGGAGACTGGGCATAGGAGTGTAAAGTTAGACGTGTTTTTGAAAATTTAGGTGTGTATATGAAATAATTCACAATATTTAAGGTATTTTAAGTCTAAATTTTCATTGTTAATACGGAACCAAATTTGCTTTGAATTCAGACTTTAAGCCTATTAAAAGAAGTGTTTAATTAAAATACAGTTTTAGTGTCTGATGCTCCAAACACTTACGTACATGCTTAACTATAAGCATGTGTGTTGTCCCATTGACATAAAAGGAACTATTTATGTGAGTGAAGTATGTACCATATTAAATCTTGGTGTCTGCTCGCACCAGCAGTTGTACCATATTAAATCTTTGCAGGATCGGGGCTTTAAATTTAAATATTTTGAAGCAAGGTTTACAAAGTACACAAGATCTTGTTTTAGGATAACAGGTTCTACGTTTTGTTTTAGTATATTGCAAATGCTGGGATTTTGACTTTAACCATTAATATTTTCAAGTTCAGCTCTCCCATTTTTTGAACCCTTTGCTTTGTGGTCCTACTAAAATCTATTCTTACGCTTTTAACTTGCGACCGCATCGTGTGTGATGCTGACTGTTTTTCCCCAGTTTTGCAGTAAAATTAGCATTTCAAACAAAGATCAAGAGTTTTATGTATTAAAATCTGTATTGTTTAACTGCTTTTCTTAGGTCTTTTTTATATAACATATAGTCATTTGGCTTTCACTTCGTATACCATAACTTGGTGTCCTTGTTTGAAACTACAGTCTCTTGCATATTTGATTTTATTTTGTTGAGAAGAATATCAGCTATCACAGCTGTTTACCGAATGGGACTTAAGTAGCTCTTTCTTGCCAAGTTTTCAGTGGCCTTGTCTACACTACAGGGAAAATTCGATCTAAGCTATACAATTGGAGTTAACGTGAATAGCGTAACTCAAATCAACATAGCTTAGATCTGCTTACCGCGGGGTCCACACTACACGATGTTGATGGGAGACATTCTCCCATCAACTTCCCCTACTCTTCTCTATCCAATGGAATAGAGGAGTCGATGGAAGAGTGAACCGCAGTCAGTTTAGCGGGTCTTCGCTAGCCCCGCTAAATCAACCACTGATGCATCAGTCGCCGCTCGTCAATCCCCTGGTAAGTGTATACAAGCCCAGTATCTTCATAAAACTTCCAAAACTATTCAAATTTTCCATAGCCTTATTTTTCCATAAAGTGTTATAAGTTAAAAAAGGACTGAAAGCATTTTAAGAGTCAAAATGTCACACTTTTTTTGGAGACTATTTCAAATGTAGTTGAATCAACAGTTTAAAGCCAAAATGACACATTTTCTTCCTGAAACAACATTAATATTGACAGCTTATCCATGCTATGGGATCTATCATCTGGGTAGTTGCAGTAAGAACCTAAATAATGTATTTTGCTGTGGTCTGGGAGACTAGACATGTGTAGGTTTTTTTTTTCTATTCTATAATTGTCAGGTTTAAATTATTGAAAGGACTTTAACTGTAGATAAAATCCTCCATTATGTATTATCTGGGAGATTTTTTAAAACTTTATTTATATATCTGTACATACTGTCTGACTTGTTTTATAGGTGCAAACTGTTCTACAAAAAAGATAATGAATTTAAAGAAAAGGGTGTAGGAACGCTGCATTTAAAACCTGCAGGAAATGAAAAAACTCAACTGCTGGTGCGAGCAGACACCAATTTAGGTATGTAACTTTCTTCTGAGTCTGTCTTGCTGGTCCTGATAATGCTCTATAGTGAAATCTACATTGGTGCTCTTTTCTAAAGGATCCAGTGCTTTCACTGTAACTAACTGATATACATATTGAGCACACACAAGATACTAAGTACTCAAATAAGAGATACTATCAGGTCACAGTCACAGTTCAGAGCAACTGCACCAGCTTTCCCCCTCACGGTCCTCTAAACGCAGCACCCTAGGCTGCCAGCTCCTCAGCCGTCACCTCTTAGGTAGAGACCTGCATGTGTCTTCCTCCTGACCGGCTGCACAGTTCTATCTGCCTACACTGTGATATTCCCAGCAAGCCAGATTGCCTAAACAAGCCAGCGTCTGCATTTCGCTTCTGCTTTGAAGGCTATGAATAGCAGTAATTGCCAGCCGTTATAAGTAACTACACAGCCCTTTATAAACAAGCACATTTATTCATAAGGTGAAAGCATTAGAGAGAGAAGGTTAAAAATAATAATAAATGCACACATGCTAATAAGTTTTTACCAGAGATTACCTCCCAACTGCAACAGGATCTCCGCTAGGAGTCAGTCCTTCAGATCCTACTAGGGGATTTTTGTATGGCTATAAGTCTTAGCTTAGAACTAGCACATCAATGAATGGATTAGTTTGTCCATTATAAGGCTTGGGTCTTTGATCTTGAGACTCTGGTAACAGCTAATCAGCAGATAATGGTCCTGTCCTCAGGGCACAGCTTCAAAAGGCTGGGTTTTTGCATAACTGAAGGTGGGGAATTTGCATTCAGCTCCCCCTAGAGATTCCCCAGGCAAATCACTTGACGCTGTCCCAAAAATCCATTCCTGGCTGGTATATTGTTCGATACATAAAAACATAAGTCCTTTAAAGTTCATATCACTTTCTACTGTTCACATCATATTTCCCCCCAGAGAGGTTACCTACAATCTTGGACCACCACAATATATAAATCATTCATTTAATACAGTAGTCCCACAAAGATGCTTAAACTTAATTCAATAAGGTTTTCCAGGGATTTTGATATAAATTGTGACTACTAGGGCACTAGGAAGAGGTAGAAATCAGGACTTTTGCATCTGGGATAGGGAATGGGCTTGTTATTGGGTGGCCTTCTATATTGAGATCTGAATTAGATTGTACACTAGAAATTCCAGCATGTAGGGTGCTGCTGAGCTCTGGTGCATGAAAACCTCTTAAGATGTAATCAGTATGGTACAATGGAAGACTGAATTCCCCCCTTTCCTAATACTCACTACTACATTTTTTTGTGAATTATTTCCTAGGTTTATGAAAACATTTTTTTTGTTTATGCATATTGCTGAGTTTAAATTTGAAACTACTCTAATACAGCACTAACTTTGAATGTGATTTTTTTTTAAATCACTTAGTATTTTAATATGTTAACTTATGCCTGAGTTAGAATATCACTGTTATTTATATTTCCAGCATATGTTGGATGAATGAACAGTGGTAGCCATAAAAAATTAATTCTACTACAACACGTCCAGTACTATATTAACAGCTCCTGTATGTTTAGTGCAATTTTTTTCTACTGCTTAAGGACTCTACTTGATGTCTCGGAATAGTAGTTGCTATGTTTATATAGACGTAATGTGAACACTCAGATTTCGGTTTGTGTGCTGCATTTCCTCATTTAGCTGAGGTTTAAATTGGTCATAGGGACACTTCACCCTCCTAAAAACAAAATCCCACGTGTGCTCTTCACCCTAACACTGTTCCTCCAGCTTCTCTTATTTTTTGCTGTTCTCACTTCTTTGGAGGGAAGGTTTCACATTTCTTTCCTTCCTGTGAACTACAAATCACTGAAATTTTACCTCTGGCTAAGAGGTGGGATGTAGACCCCTGGTGCCTTATGGATGCTCTGTAGGTAAGCCAAGTATTTTATAAAGCAAAGATCAACACACCCCAGTCTCTACTGGCAGAAGAACAGAAGCCTAACCTTGGACCTTAACTTGTCTAATACTGCCAGTTGGTCAGTACTTCCACTTGAGGCCTTTCTGGCAGTGGCAGAGTGAATCTGATGAATTACCCATGAATTTCATCTCCCCTGGGTCACCAGTGAAGCATCCTTTTAGAAATCGCAGAGGAATAGATATTTGGGAAACAAAATTCCTTTGTCTTCTCCCCACAAGAGCATCTCCAGCAGCTGTAGTAGATCACATCTGCAAGCTTTGCCACTTGCACACAAATGGATAATCAGAATGAAACGGACCATTCCAATTTGCTGTTGCTTCCCCAAGGAATCCTAAAGTAAAAGCATACCTACAACCCTTATTGGTGGGAGAATCCCTTGAATATAAATGGTGGGGGAAGAGAGTATCCCTCATTCCATACTAAAGCTTAAATTCCTCCTCTGTAAGCTTACTAATATGTAAATTTTCTTACAATACCAATAACTTGTTTAACCTAATATGTTCTTTTCTCACAAATGCAGGTAACATACTATTGAACGTGTTGGTTCCGCCCAAGATGCCATGCACAAGAACAGGAAAAAACAACGTTCTTATAGTCTGTGTTCCCAATCCACCAATTGATGAGAAGAATTCCACTGTCCCTGTCACTATGTTAATAAGAGTGAAAACAAGTGAGGATGCAGATGAGTTGCACAAAATTTTACTTGAGAAAAAGGAGGCCTAAACATATTGCAGTCAAATGATCTGAGAAATTACTGCTAAACTGCTGCTACTCATTTTTTCTTTAACTTCTTAACTCTCTACTCTGACATTCTAAGAACTGTTACAGGAATTCTGAAAAGTTTTTGTGAGGAAAAGCTAAAATGGCTAATAAAAGCTTTAACTGAACACAAGTATCCATCTGTCCTCCCTCCTTTTTTGGAATATCTAATGTATGAACCATATTTGGATAAAATTTGTACATTTAAATTAGTGATTGCTGGATGGACTGAAATCAAAGTACAAAATGTTGTACCACATGTTCTTCACAGGCTTTAAGGTGAAGTGCAGCAACCTCCTTTTTTGAGAAGGGAGAATGCTAAATTGTTTAACTCTTGAAACTATTTCTAGACTGAATAGAATTTTTTTTTTAATACAAAATCAGTGTCTGCTAGCTTCTGGTAAAGGATCTAACCTTTCAAACTGTCACCTGAATAATTATGTATCTGAATAACAATGCTTCTGTAGATTCTTTTTAAATTAATAAGAAATGTGATGTACTGTTGGGATTCAGACTGCATCTGTGGTTCCTCAAAGCAAATAATTTGCTTGCATTATTCCTGTTGACTTTAATGTTACTCTGCTACAAACAATTCAGTTTTGTTGTGCTTACTGTTGCAGCAAGCTAATGGTGTGCAATAGTATCCACAGACAAGTGGAAGACTATTAGCTCTCAACCAACAACCAGACTGGCCCTATAATTGGTATTCTTGTTGACAGAGCTAGAGGCCAAGGGAGGAGACTCCAATACTCTCTCTCCTAGAAGTATTCTTCCCTACTCCCTCCAGGTTGAGACACATCAAGAGCAGAAGCAGTTTGGTGGAGGAAACTGGTCAAGGCAAATACATGCCCTATCTGTTAATAAAATTTACTAAGCACGTCTCATGAGCATCAAATTATTTTTTAAAAAAATCTTTGTGCTGTAAATGTCTCCTGACATGGCCAAGAGTCTGTGTAAACTTGGGTACTATACTATTAAATATTTTCTTTGTGATGTGATAAAGCAGCAGAATACTACTTGCTGGCATCAAATATAGCAGTAGGGTTGGCTGCAGTGTTCTATCTTTTGGACTACTGAAACATCATAAAGTGTGAGTAAAGTATTTAGTGTTAACCTGGAAGGAAGCTCGGATGCTGTATAGACATACCCATTTTAAATATAAATTGGTGCCTTTTTTGCATTTGGTTTTGTATTTAGCCACTAAAGTGTGTGTGTGGTTAGTTTCCTCAATTTTTTCTAACGTCGTGCTGGTACGTAGCGCAGAGGTCAGAACTTAAATGTTTGCATGTTAATTCTGTGAATGAAAATCATAACATGTACAAGTTTTACAGGCTCAGGTTGAAGGGCCAAGGGCTGAAATAATTTTGCATTTGTTTTTAGAAAACAGTGTCTTAATAAATAAATAAATTTGAGTAAAGAAATTTGTTTTGTAGGCTGCCAGTCACTGCACATGGAGGGGAATAATCTTTTGTGATGAGCAGATCACTCATTATGCACCTCACACTTTAAGAGCCATTGTGTATTAGACGGTTAGAGGTATTGTGTTTGGTACTTGTTTACTTCCTCATGTGCAAAGATGTGTAGTAATGTGCTTTCCATCAATTGCAATATGGACCAATAAAGAAGATACACAGAAATTCATTAGGAGAGGCAAATGTAACTAACTTTCCACGTGCCCCTTGCACAGCCATCCTGACTGATATTTGCCTTTGAAATGAGTGAAATCTGGGACTTTTGTACGTGCATGGTTTTGGCTTGCTCGTGAAGCTAGGTAGGCTAAGTAGAAGAGGCCAGTGAATGGTCCTGCTGTATCTGTGATTGGAAGAGTTGTTTAAAACATTGTTTAAATTGTGATTGTATGTTTGAGGGTGGGTGTTGAGGACAGGAAAGAGAATGGGACAGATACTACTTAATGAAAATCTAATATGCTGGAAACTTTGTACCCCACAATGCCCAAGCTGGCAAATACACACATTTTCTATCTTAGTTTGGGAAACAATGAGTAAAGGAGGTGGCACACCTTATTCTTTAGCTAAGCATGTATTGGTATCAGTAAATGGCATGGAGAATCATATGGGAGAGATGGAAATAGGTAAGTGTATACTCACATCTTTGCAATAGGTTACCCTATAAAGTCTCCCTTAAAAAGAAAAGTATATGTATGAAATGTCTTAGGTCTAATAATATTAAAAACAGAGTTTTTAATTTAAGAACGTAATCCTACAGTTTATTACAACAGATCTTTGCTGTTAACACTTTAAAACAAAATTAAACAGGGAAAAGTGATAGAGATATGACAGGTGTAAAATTGATCTGTCTAATTAAAAGTTCTGTGTATCTTATATTGACTTCAGTTATTTGAATTGTGAGATGGGGAGAACTTAAATGTATACTTTTTTACTTGTGTTCAATTGTACAGCACAAATTATTTTGCTCCCAGGGTTATAAAAACAAATGTTGTGGCACTATGGTTTGAATTTTGTAGTTCATAGGGCACTTTCGGAGGGAGACACCTAAAAAGTAGATTCTGGGATTAGTCTACAGATTTCAATGTTTGTTTGCATGAAAATTTAATAGAAATTAAGCTCTAAAAACGTATTAAAAGCAAATGTAAAAATAGTTTGTTAGGAAATTACCATTAATTATATAGTTTGTATCAGGGTGTCTGTCATATGCTACTTTATTATAAAAGATTGTCTTATTTAGAATTCTAATTCAATAAATTTCTGTATCTTGCCTTGTAGATAAGAGCTGTCTTCTTTCCAGAAGTATGGGGAATAAACAGGAACTAGAAATACTAGTGAATAATCACAACTATGATATAATTGGCATCACGGACTTGGTGGAATAATACACATGACTGGAATATTAGTATAAAAGGGTACAGCTTGCTCAGGAAGGACAAGTAGGGGGGAAAGAGAGGAGGTTGTTGCCTTGTATATCAAAGATGTATACCCTTGAGGTTGAGATGGAAATAGAAGACAAGACTTGCTGAAAATGTCTGGGTAAGGATAAGAGGTTTAAAAATAAAAAAAAAACACGGGTGATGTCATGGTAGGGGTCTACTATAGACTTCCTAACCTGGAAGAAGAGGTGGATAAGGCTTTTAAAAAAATATACCAAATCATCCAAAGCACAGGACTTGGTGATGATGGATTTCCCAAATGTCTATTGGGAAAATAATACAGCTGGGCACAGATTATCCAACAAGTTCTTGGAATGCATTGGAAACATTCTTTTGTTTCAGAAGGTGGAGAAAGCAACTAGGAGAGACTGTTCTAGAGTTGACTTTTGACAAATAGGGAGGAACTGGTTGAGAACTTCAAAGTGGAAGGCAGCTTGGGTCAAAGTGATCATGAAATGATAGAGTTCGTGATTCTAATGAACAGTAGGAGGGAAAACGGCAAAATAAAGAATGGATTTCAAGAAGGCAGACTTCAGCGAACTCAAGGAATTTGTAGGTAAAGATGCCATGGGAAATAAGTCTAAGAGGAAAAACAGTTCAAGAGAGTTGTCTCTGAAAAACTGTCATTAAGGGCACAAGTGCATATTATCCCACTGCATAGAAAGTATGGCAAGAGATCATGCTGGCTTAACCAGGAGATCTTCAATGATCTGAAACTCAAGAGTGTCCTACAAAAAGTGGAAACTGAGTCAAGTTATGAAGGATAACCATAAAAAAACCCAAAAGCCATGTAGGGACAAAATTAGAAAAGCCAAGGCACAAAATGAGATTAAACTAGCTAAAGACATAAAGGGTAACAAGAAAACATTCTACAATACATTAGTAGCAAGAGGAAGACCAAGGACAGAGTAGACCTGTTACTTAGTGATAGGGGAAAGCCAATAACAGAAAATGTGGTAAGAGAAGTGTTAAATGCCTTTGTTTTCACCAAAAAGGTTAATTGCAATCGGACATCTAACATAGCAAATGCCAGTGAAAATGAGGTAGGATCTGAGGCTAAAACGGAACAAAGAGGTCAGATGTGTTCAAGTCAGTAGAGCCTGATGAAATACGTTCTAGAATACTCAAGGAGCTGACTGAGAAGATCTCAGCCATTCGTGATTATCTTCAAAAACTCATGGAAGATGGGAGAGATTCCAGAAGACTGGAAGAGGGCAAATGTAGTGCCAATCTATAAAAGGGGATAAGGACAACCTGGGGAGTTACAGACCAGTCAGCTTCACTTCAGTACACAGAAAGATAAGGGAGCAAATCAGTTTGCAACCACCTAGAAGATAAGGTCATAAGTAACAGTCAACATGAATTTGTCAAGAGTAAATAATGTCAAACCAACCTAACAGTTTTCTTTGACAGGGTAACAAGCCTTGTGGATATGGGGAGGAGAGGAGGAAGCAGTAGATTTGATATATCTTGACTTTAGTAAGGCTTCTGATACTGTCTTGCATGACCTCATAAACAAACTAGGGAAATATAGCCTACATGGAGCTACTATAAGGTGGGTGCATAACTGGATGGAAAACTGTTCCAGAGAGTAATCATCAGGGGTTCACATTAAAGCTGGAAGGGCACAATGAGTGGGGCTCTGCAGGAGATCAGTCCTGGGTCAGATTCTGTTCAATATGATGATAATGGTACAGAGAGTGTGCTTATAAAGTTTGCGGACAATACCAAGCTGGGAGGGGTTGCAAGTGTTTTGGAGGATAGGATTAAAATTCAAAATGATCTGGAGAAATGGTCTGAAGTAAAAAGGATAAAATTCAATAAGAAATGCAAAGTATTCCACTTCAGCAGGAACAATCAGTTGCACATGTACAAAATGAGAAATGACTAGGAAGGAGTATTGCAAGAAGGGATCTGGGGTTTATAGAAGATCACAAGCTGAATGAGTCAGAGTAACATTGTTGGCCCCCACCCCCCAAAAAAGTGAACATTCCGCCATATATCAGCACCAGTGTTGTAAGAGAGACCAGAAGTAATTCTTCCACTTTGTGCTCATAAGGCCTCAACTGGACTATTGTGGACAGTTCTGGGTGCCACATTGCAGGAAAGATGTGGACAAATTGGAAACAGTCCACTGCAGAGCAACAAAAATGATTAAAGGACTAGAAAACGTGACCTACAAGGAAAGATGGGGAAAAAATGGGTTTGTGGAGAGAGAGAAGACTGAGTAAAGACTTAAGTTTTCAAATGCATAAACAGTGGTTACAAGGAGAAGGGTGGAAAAATTGTTCTCGTTAACCTCTGAGGATGGGATAAGAAGCAACTGGCATATGCTGGAACAAGGGAGATTTAGGTTAGACATTAGGAAAAGCTTCCTAACTGTTGGGTAGTTAAGCACTGGAACAAATTGCTTTGGGAGGTTCTGCCATCTCGGTCATTGAAGAACAGGTTAGACATACACTTGTCAGGAATGGACTAGTTATTACGTACTCCTGTCTTAAGCACAGGGAATGGAGCTAGATGACCTGTTCAGGTCCCTTCTAGTCTTACACTTCTTTGATTCAATGTTGTGACATTAAGCACCAGCTATCAGTTGCACATTTGTGCAAGAGAGTTCTTTCCAATCTGAGTTGCTACAAATGATCAGTTTCATTGTTACAGCTGTAGACTTTGTTTTTTCAAATCTTTACAGGTTTGAGTTGTTGCTCTGGCTTTCTGGATATACTTTTTCCCCCAAAAGAACAAGATTAAAACCACTGTTTTCACAAAAACCTTTATGTTGTGAATCCTATAACTTCCTCTTGCAAGCTTTTAGTCTGTATGTGTAACTAATCGGTTTCAGAGTGAAGAAGTGGGTCATTGAGCAGATGCTTTTGCCCCATACTCCCCTCTGGTTGATTGCAATCTAGTAAGATTCTAGTTAAACAAATCTACAGTGATGCATCTTTAAAGTGAATGTGTAATTAAGCATAACAGGTAATGTATGTTAAGAATGCTATCTGATTTAGTTCATTTTGCAGCACCACAACTTCTCAAATGTCTCGAGACTTTTTCTGATGCTTTAAGTTATTTGCATTTGCTAAATTCTGTGGCTGGTACATGTGCAAGCAAAATTAACTTCAAATGGCATGAATTAGTAATCAGCAATTAAAGGCTACTGAATTGAGTAATGTAATAATTCACTCCATTATTTTCAAAGTAGACCTCAAAAAGCTCAAGTTTTTCCATAGGAACTGATCTTTTATTGAATAGATTTGTCATGTGACTTCTGACATGTTTTATTTCTAATACATTCTGAGAAAATGTACAAATTCCATGGAAAATGTGAATAAACAAATGGGAGATATAACAACCCTTTTTTATGTTTGACTGTGTATGCGCTTTTGGTTATGACTGCAATGCCAAATACTTCCAGTGGGGAAGTGACAGCTGGTGTCTAATTTCAAAGTAAAATGTTCTGAAAAACACTTGAGGGGAGGAAAGGGTGAACTTAGCCTGGGAGGGACACAACCAAACTGTTTCCTTTTGTAGATCACCTTGAGCAGGGCATAGCTGTATTGGGAGGGGCTGTAGTTGACCAAATTTGAAGCTGACAGCTGTGGAGATAACGCATGCTGGAACTGTCAACTTCTCCCAGTACAAGACAGACAGTCCATGTTGGACTGAAATTCTAAGGGAGAGTAATACAGGGCTGCCAGGAGGGTAATTAAATCGGGATCGCATACAAACACCATAAACAGTCCACCAGCTTCCACCCAGAAGAACTGCTTTTTCAGGGAAGAAGGTGCATGGGAAAGATGGCACCAGCTGGGGGACTGATCACCTGTTGAGGCTGATCCAGGAGCCACCTGACAGGGACTGAGCTGTTGTAAAGGGCAGGAGCTGATTTATTTGAGGTCTTCAGCCATTTTTGCCAGATCAAGTAAAGAAGCTATTGCAGGACCCTGATGAGGCAGGGGAAGCCCTGCTACCTAAACTCAGATGGACCATCTAGAACTCAAACAGGAACGGTGAGCTAGAGTGAGGGGCATTGTGTTCAGGGTGTCTCTCTTTTTTCTAAATACTCTATACTTTCTTGGGCTATTAAATAAGGAGCAATGGAGTCTTAAAGTCCTGTGCAAAGTCAGATATATTTTAAGTAAGGGGATCCTAGCAAGGTAAACTCCTCACCTTTGCCAATGTATATGCTCTCAGTCAATGGCAAGCTTCTTTTGATCAGATTTTTAGGGAAGGGGCTATTATGAGGGGGTAGGGAGGGAATTGCAATGAGATGCTTACTGCCACTTTAGGTTAATCAAATGCACACATGCTGTGTGGGAAGAGCAAGTGCAAATTTGTTGCATCACTTAGAAAATGAGCATCTGGTGGATGTTTGGCAAGATATAAATCAGGGACTATATATGAGTTGCAGAATAATGTATCTTATTCCAGGATTGATGGGATTTGTTTTTAGGACATTGGCTAATTTGGTCCAAAACCACTAATTTTGGGAGTTATAACTTGGTCTGATTATGCCCCTGCATATATTAGATTAAAAGATTGGGACTCAGTGGAAAAAGAGAGAGCCTAGGAGTTGATGAGAGTTTTGTTCTATGTCCAGAATTGGAAGAAAGTTTTCAGAAATAAAATATGTGTATGTATATTGAAACATTGCATGTTTTTTCATTTGTGCAAATTTTATCCACACTTGCCTTAAAAAAAAAAAACTTTCTCCACAATATTTATTCCTAAATATTTTTGATTCCTTTGCCCTTTTAAACTTATGTAGCGGATATGTTTCTTTTGACCATGTGTAGTTTTATTTTGAAGCCTGCTACCTGCACCAATTCCA